TCTCCCTTTAAAGTCAATCAATCATAGAAAAGACCATCCATCTGTCTGTAAATCATGATTGTGCAATTGACTCTTGAACAACACAGGTTTGAACTGTAGGGGTCCATTCATACACAGATTTAAAAAAATAAATACTGTAAATGTATTTTCTCTTTCTTATGGTTTTCTTTGTAACTTTCCCCCCCTCTAGCTTACATATAACACACAAAATATGTGTTAATTGACTGTTTATGTTATTCATAAGGCTGTTTAAGTTATTGGTCAACAGTAGGCTTAATAGTTAGTTTTGGGGGAATCAAAAGCTATTTATGAATTTTGATCCATTGTGGTGTTCAAAGGTCAATGGTACATAATCCTTCATAGGAGGATTTCAAATTAAAAAAAAAAAAAGGAAGGGGAACTGCTGTGATTCTAGTAAGGAAGGAAGTTCAACATGGCTCATGAGTTGAATCCATGTGGGGCCCTGTGACTTTTTTTTATTTTAGAACCTGGGGAACCACAAAAACCGAATTAAAAAAAAATTCAGTGACATCAATCACATTCACAATATTGTGCAATTATCACAACTATTTCCAAAAATTTTCAGGGATAATTTTTTTTTTCATTAGGACCAAGAAAGACTTTCCAGTTTGCTTGGGGTTTATTCTCATTTCATCAGATGTATTCTGCCAGTTACTACATGGGGCATATGCCGCATGTAGATAAGTGGTTTGTTAGAACAGGTAGAGTTGCAGTAATCCATTGTCAAGGGATTTAATATCACTTGGGGCCACAGGATATACTTCCCGTGCACTTATATTCCTATGGCAATAGTCTTGAACCCTCTTTTTTTTTTTTTTTTTTTTTTTTTTTTTTTTTAATATGATAAAAGAACTGGGCGTCATTCCCAAATTTCTAACCTTACTTCAAGTCTCCTTCAGTATCCAAACTAAAAGAGATAGTGATTAAAGGCTATTTTAAAAAAATAAGATTAAGCAACACATTGAATGTTTTACACCAAAGTTAACTTGTCTAAAAGCAAAAATCTCTCTGCAGATGTTCTTTAAAAAGTATTAGATTTTGCCCAGCTTGTGTGACTCAGTGGCTGAGTGTCAACCTGTGAACCAGGAGGTCACAGTTCAGTTCCAGGTCAGAGCACATACCCGGATTGCAGGCTTGATCCCCCGTAGAGGGCTTGCAGGAGGCAGTGAATCAATAATTCTCTCATTATTTATTTATTTTTTAAATATATTTTATTGATTTTCTACAGAGAGGAAGAGAGAGGGATAGAGAATTAGAAACATCGATGAGAGAGAAACATCAATCAGCTGCCTCCTGCACACCCCCCACTGGGGATGTGCCTGCAACCAAGGTATAATACATGCCCTTGACTGGAATCGAACCTGGGACCTTTCAGTCCACAGGCTGACGCTCTATCCACTGAGCCAAACCGGTTTCGGCAATTTTCTGTCATTATTGATATTTCTCTCCCTCTCTGAAATCAATAAAAATATATTTTAGAATGGATTAGATGTAATTATGCATTACTATATATGACAAAAAACTTTTATTATACTTATATTTTCACAGAAGAATAATTTTTAGTGTAGCTTTTAAATATATATATACACATATATATGTATGTATATATATGTATGTATATATATATATATACATACACACACACACACACACACACACACACACACACATATATATATATATATTGATTTCAGAGAGGAAGGGAGAGAGAAAGAGAGAAAGAAACATCAGTGATGATAGAGAACCATTTGTGGGCTACCTCATGCAGGCCCCACACTGAGGATTGAGCCCACAACCCAGGCATGTGACTTGACTGAGAATCGAACCTTGATCTCCTGGTTCATTGGTCAGCACTGAATCCACTGAGCCATGCCAGCTGGGCTAGATGTTTTTTTTTGCTTTAAAATTATTCAGTATATAAGGTATTTTAAAGGAAGCCTACTACATTAAGATGCTTATATTTTTATCATGGGCCCAGACTTTGAAAATATTTAATGTCAATAAACATAAGTTAAGGATGACTTAGGTGTTAAAGTTGCCTGCCTGTTATTAAATGAAAATGTTTATGTGGGACTGTTTTCATTGGGGCATATAATGAGTGAGGATTTATAGCTAGTATTTAATTTAATTTAACTTTATTATATTATTTTTTCAAAATAAGTCTCTCTAGTGATTACCTAAATAGTGTTCTAAATTAGGTAGTTGAAATCACATAGAGGCTTTAATTTTGGTTTAGTTATTTTAGGAAAAAGAAAGACATTGTTAGTGAGAAAGGGGGACAATTTTCATTTCTATCCTTCCCTGGAACAGAGAGCAAAAGAGGATGTGCTGCAAAAGGAAGTCCGAGTAAATATATTGAAGAACAACATCAAGTTAATAGCTAAAAAGGTGCCCTCTAGTGGCCAGGAATTGACTTCTAAGCTGCAGGTTGAGCTCGAGAATTACCAACTTCTTTGCAAAAGAATTCGAGGAAAGTGCCAAGCACTTGAGGTATGCTATTTTTTTTTTTTCAGTGATGTGTTTCTGAGATTAAAACTTTGTAATGTACTGACCATTTCCATTTCTTGGGGGGAAAAAACTTGATTTTTCCCCCCAAACACTGCATCATAAAGGAAAATAGTTCTTTGTTAATAGGTTAATAAAATGAAGCAGGGATAACAAAATATAGGGGATCAAGATCTACCCTCAATTAAGGTTCATGGGAAAGTCATTTAACATCTTTCGACTTTACATTTTTTATATTTGAGAAAAAGGTTTCTATATCACAGGTGATCTATAGGCAGATTCTATAGATTCTAGAACAGTGTACTGTGAACATCTCTTTTGTTTTTCCTGGTTAGTGCACACACAGAAATGAAGATTTTAAAAATGTTTTATTTAGAGTGGCATCTACAGTTAAATCACCTGAAAGGCAGTAGAGGAAGTAGAACTTGAATATGCTGGTAATTGACTGGGCAATGGGTTTAAGATGCAGATGATTCTATGAGTTTTGTTTTTTATTTAAAATAAAATTGAGTTCTTATTTGTTTATATATTAGTGTGACTTTTATGTTATTAAAATAGTTTAGGAGCACTTCAATTTAAATTCAGCTCAACATCAAATAAATGACCATGTTGAAGTATATCCTAAAATGGTAAACAGCGCAACTATAATATTTAAACTGAACTCTACCATTACTTGCTTGTTCTGAAACTATTTTGTGGTAAATATAATTATGGATAAGTAAGATTAGTTAATAAGAAAACTACAACTCAAAACCACACTCTTTAATATTAATATATTATTTAATGTAAAATACAGGAGGTTACTTATTTGAGAAATTAAAATTCTATAAACAGAACATGTAGTGTTATGCATGCTTAACCTTAAGTCCTAGTGAATGATATTGGAATTGGACTTGACTACAGTTTTATACAAGTTTTCTTCTCTGTCATAACCACCCTTGATTTTGCTCTTTTTTCTTTTTCTTTTATTTCTAGCCAAAATAACAACTTATTATATATATATTTTTAAATTAATTTTCTTTTTATTGATTTCAGAGCAGAAGGGAGAGAGAGAGAGAGAAACATCAGTGATGAGAGTCATCAATTGCTGCCTCCTGTATGCCTCACACTGGGGACTGAGCCCACAATGCCCTTACCTGGAATGAAATGGTAACTTCCTCGTTCATAGGTTGATGCTCAAACACTGAGCCATACCGCCTGGGTTACATAATGAATGGAGTCCCAAAATTATCCCAGTCTAACAAAGACCACATATATTGTGTCATTTCTTCAAGCTGTCTTTATTCCAGAGGTAACAGCCTATCTAAGAAAAGAGTAATATGCAAATTGTCCCTCACACCAAGACAAGATGGCTGCCCTCATATGGTCAAAGATGGCTGCCCTCATGTGGATACAAGATGGCTGCCACACGATGACCACTATAAGATAGCCTGCAGGGGAGGGCAGTTGTGGGCAGTTAGGGGTGACCAGGCCAGCAGAGGAGGGCAGTTGGGGGAGACCAGGCCAGCAAGGGAAGGCAGTTGGGGGAGGAACCCAGGCCTTCACGGGAGAGCAGTTGGGCGGGGCTGGGCCTGCAGTGGAGGGCATTGGGGGGGGGGGTACCAGGCCTGCAATGGAGAACAGTTGGGAGGGACCCAGGCCTGCAAGAGAGGGCTGTTGGGGGCCCAGGCCAGCAGGGGAGGGCAGTGGGAGCCAGCAGTCCTGGATTATTGAGGGATGTCTGACCACCCATTTAGGCCAGATCCCACTAACAGGCTGCCAGACATCCCTCAAGGGGTTCCAGATCGGAGAGAGTGGGCTGAGGGACACCCTCCACCTCGTGCACAAATTTTGTGCACCGGGCCTCTAGTTTTAAAATAAGGAATGAGGGTTTGGAATTGCTGTGAGAATTAATTTTAGAGTTACTTTGAAATTAGTTTGAGAGAAGAGAAGGAAAAATGCAAAAAAAAAAAAAGATAAAGGTAAAAGAGAAAAGATAATTGCTTGATATTTTTAAGATGGTAAATGAAAAAGAAGGAAAAAAGGGTTTAAAAATAAAAACGATTTTAAAATTATGTCAGCGATTACCAAGGAATATTGGGCAGAAATAGACCAAATTTCTAACTTAGAGTGAGAATGCCCTTCTTAGAGGAATCCAAATGTATCACCTTGATTATTTTTAGACTCCTGAAAAAGATATGAAATCAGGAACTAGTTCAGACTTACAGAAAAATAGAGGTAATACCATTAAAACATCTTTTCACTATAACTAATGTTAAATTTTGCCATATTTTCTCAGATCCCATTTTTAAAATAGGGTACATTAGTATTGTAGAATCTGATTTCTTCTTTTCCATCCCATCTCATTTCTCTCTCTCTCTCTCTCTCTCTCTTTTTTTTTTTTTAAGTGTTGTTGTTTTTTATTTTATGTACAAAGAGATAGCATTGTCGTAAGGTAGATAGATGTCTTCAATGACCAATTCATAGAAGTTCCCTTAGTCCAACTTGATGAAGCCCATGTCCTTCGCGCACTGGCGGGAACACTGGCGGCACATGTTGAGGCCGTACTTCCGGATCAGGCCGTGGCGGTTGGAGCAGACGCGGCAAGAGCGAGAGCCCTGGCCGAATTTCCTCGGGTGGCTCCAGTAGAGTTGCTGGTGACCCATCTTGCTCACTCGGTAGCAACGAGGCAAAAGGCTCATTTCTCTCTTGAAGTAATCATCATCCAGAAGCTGGTGTATATTCTTCCCAACCATATTTTTATATTGGTAATATATATATACACCCACTTATGTCTCAGTTATCTATTTCTATACAACAATCTCCCCAAAACGTAGTGACTTTTAAAATATATTTTATTGCTTTTTTACAGAGAGAAAGAGAGAGGGATAGAGAGTTAGAAACATTCATGAGAGAGAATCATCGATCAGCTGCCTCTTGCACACCCCCTACTGGGGATGTGCCCGCAACCAAGGTACAATACATGCCCTTGACCGGAATCGAACCCGGGACCTTTCAGTCCACAGGCTGACGCTCTATCCACTGAGCCAAACCGGTTTAGGCTGTAGTGACTTTTAAAATGTTTAAAGCTACTTATTATTTCTCATGGTTCTGTGTCTGAGGTGTCTCAGTGGGGTGGCTTCCTGCTCCGTGCTGTCTATGACTGGCTCACTCAGGTGGCTGCATTCGACTCGGGGCTCAGCAGGGACAGTCACAGTGGCCTCTCTCCACAGGGCCTCCCAGTCTCACAGCTTCTCTACCACAAGGCAGCTGGCTTTTCAGAGGGAGAAGGCGGGAGCTCCCAGTCCTCTTCAAGGCTTGGCCTCCAATTTGACACAGTGTCACATCTGCAACATTCTTTTGGTCTAAGCCAGTCACAAGGCCAACCCCTATTCCAGGGCAGGAGAAAAGCATTTCACCACTTAACGGGAGTAATGGCAAAAAACCATGGCCATCACTAATCCACCATAGTTCATCCTCTGGTCCTACGTTAGTGACAGTCCCCCCACATGCAAAAGTCACTATCCCAGGGACTCCCTAAGGCTTATCCAGTACAGCATCCAGTTCGAAACCCTGTCTTAAGCCTAAACAGATGTGACTCTCAGGACAGTTTCTTTAGGTGCAGGTGTGGCACCGTGCAATCTCGTGACTTGCCCATTAGGAAGATAAGTTTGTTGCACCGCATACACGCACATTCAAAGGTGAGCTAGGCATAGGCACTCCATTCAAAAAAGTGGAGGCAGCTGAAGGTACATGGCAGTCACTATTCATAGTGACTCTGAATTGTAATAGTAGTCCTTCTGAAATCTGGCCAGGGCCCCTACACCCGGGGCGGGACTGGTACTCAGTTAGGGCCCAGTTCTGTTTCCTGGGAATGCTGCTCATTTTTCCTTCCCCATCAGAACATGGGCTCTGCTTGCTGTTGCAGCCGAGTAGATGTCTCTGCTCCTCTCCACCTGTAGAAATTTGGGGGACCAGACACACCTTTTCTCATTCAGTCTTATTCAGGGGCTGGCACATGGCAACCTGAGGGTCAAATCTGGTTTGTGTCTCTTCCACGGTGGCCTGTGAGCTAACAATGGTGTGTATGGTTTTCATTTTTAAAGGGTTATTAACAACAAACCAAAACACACACAAAATAAACAGAAAAATCTGTGTCAGGGACCAGATGTGGCTTGTGAAACTTAAAATATTTACTCTCTGGCCTTTAATATATATAATAGAAAAGGTTGCTGCCCCCTGACCCTGTCAACACAACTCATTCGCAGTGCAGGCTGGAACGTGCCTCCTCTCCGTCAGTGGACCTCAAAGAAAACCAACCGGGGGGCTCCACGTGGAATTCTCTTTCCTACATTTACCCGTCAAATAGGCTCCTTTTCTGTGAGAAGGAAGGGGCTGTGCCTCCCATAACTTTCTCCTAGGAAGTTGGGGGTATAAATTTATCCCCCTGAAACTCCTCATAGGAATTGGGAGATAGCGATTGCCATTAATACAGTTAGTATAGCTCCATTTTGGGCAAAATATGGTTCTTTGCACATATAGACATGTTCCTATGAATTTAGAAAACAGTAGGAAAGAGTATACAGCAAATTGTTACATCCATTAGCTCTGAGTTGGAATAGGATGGGCCCATAGAATTCCAGTTTTCTATATAATTGTTAAAAAGTGTTGCGATTATGAATGCTTTTACCTTTCTAGTTTAAAAGCAAACTAATAAAATATTCCTTTTTTTGTTACTAGTTAAGTAATTTATTTTTGACTTTTAACCAGGTCCTTGGAATTTATTTTCCTGTAAAGTGTGAGGCAGCTCGCTCGTCTTTGCCTCCCGTCTTCCCTCCAATTGGTCCAGTGTGATTTACTAAAGAACGAGGTTTAATTTCATTTATTTGAAATTTCAATTCTATCAGTTTCTGGGTCTTCACCTATGCTCCTCTATCTAAATGCAGGGGCTGTTGAGTGGAGAGAATATGTAGCGTTGGAGATGCTCTCATCTCTAAGTAGCTGCTTGTCTAATGCCCCTTCCTCCTTGCCTATTCTAGGAAGTGTGGTCATGCTGGCTTCAGTTACTGCATTATTTGGACCTTGAGACCAGCTGGTTGAACACCCTTGAGAAGAAGGTGAGAAGCCTGGAGACCCCGCCGGAGAAGGAAGATGCTATCCTCGAGGCCAAGGAGGTGGGCATCTGCGTTCTCCCTGCTATTTCTTGTTGCAGGGAAGCCAAATGAGTATTAAAATGAGGAATCTTCTGCCTTATGCCAGCAAGGCATTTTCTCCCTCAGCAGCTTTCAGTGTTGCCTTCCATTGCTTGAAGTGTTTGTACCATCCTTTATGTTTAGATTAATGATTGACCCACTAACTCAGTCCCCGAGGTGGGTACTTGTTAATTAGTGTATTGTAGACGTCAGGAAAGCACCGCAGCGATTTTCCTGCCTCTTTTTACCAGTCCCTGGACGGAAGGAACTCTGCCTTAAGGCATTAGAACGATTGCTCTCTTGTTTCTTCATAAAATTATTTTTGTTCCTAAGACACGGCAATGACTGTGTTCACAGTGGCTCCCTCTATGTTATCTTCAGATGTGACAAGTTGGAGGACAGGGTGGGGAGGGAAGAGTGAGAAGTGTGGGATCCTGTCCCAGGAGCTTGTCTCCAGGCCCATTTGAATTCCTTGAGGCCAAGAAATGCATCTGATTTTTCTTTCATGATGACTTAATATCTGTTTCTTAAATGAAATAAATTATGAAGACAGTAGAGCTGCTTAAAAAAAAAGAGGAAGAGGCTAGGAAGAGGATAGATATGCTTTTGAAATTATAGGGACACATGGTAATTAAGCGGATGCCTGGATTGAAGGTCAGAAGTAAGTCAAAGGTGCTACCTGAAATCCCAGGAGCTGGATGCTCTGCTGGAGAAAAGATGTCACTTCTCAGATAAAGGAGCAGAGTGAGAGGTGAAGAGCATGAAAACAATGAAAAGCTTAGTTTAAAAATGAATATTTTCTTAACATGAGAATTAAAACATGTGCACTCTAGAAATACGGAAAATGGAGAGAAGCATAAAACAAACTCTAAGGTAAGTACTTTCAGACCTTTTGGCAAATTTCTTCCTCATTATTATTATTATTATTATTAATCCTCACCTGAGGATATTCTTTTTCATTGCTTTTCAGAGAAAATGGAAGGAGGGAGGGGGTTGAGGGAGAGAAAGAAAGAGCGAGAAAGAAACATCAGTGTGTGAGAGACACACTGACTAGTTGCCTGTTGCACGAGCCCCAAGCAGGGCGGGTGAGGAGTGAACCTGCAACCCAACTAGGTTCCCTGACCAGGAATTGAACCTGGACTCTTAGGTTCCCAAACTGACCTGTAACCACTGAGAAGCACCTGCCAGGGCTCCTCCTAATTATTGTTAATTTTAGCGCACGCACTGGAAGGCAGTTCGTTATAATAACTGGATCAAAGACTTTGAAATCATGAGTCAAGTTGGAATCTTAGCTCTTCTTTTTACCGTAGGTACCAGTATGTGGGCTATGGACTTAAGCTCTCTGAACTTCAGTTTTCCCATCTGTAATAAGAAATAATATTTAACTCCAAGGTTACTTAGGTTTATGTACACATAAAGTGTGTATACAAAATAGCACCTAGCTTTCTGTATGTGTTACAGAAAACTGAGTACCTATTTTTCAAAATATAATCAACAGTTTGGAATTGTTTTGCTTTATAGTATTGTTTTCTGCTTTCAAACTTTGCATCACACCATGGACATTTTCCCACGTAATTAATAATTACTAAAATTATCTATGAAGTTGTATTGTCATATATCATCTTTTATGCTGAGTTCTTAATTCTACATATTTTTTAATACCATTATGGATATTTTTGAAAATTAATTATTCCTCGTCTTGTTTCTTGGGAAGAAAATGGAATTACTTGTTTAAAAAAATGGACACTGTTGGATCCTTGATACATTTTGCCTCAGTTAAGTGGATTATTTTCCCCTTCCTGTCCCTGTCCAGTCTCTAGAAACCCTTTTGCAACATCCAGCCGATAATCGCACCGAGATCCAGGAACTTGGCCAGACTCTCATTGATGGTGGGGTAATGGATCACTTGATAAGTGAGAAACTGGAGGCTTTCAATAGACGATATGAAGAACTGAGTAGCCTGGTAAGAACTGGGACGCGCATGAGAGTAGATTAGTTGTTTGTGAGATGAAGCTGACCTCAAGAACTTGTGCCAAGGGGAAAAGCTTGTAACCAACATGAACGGGGATGTTGTGGGCTTTGAAATACTAGCTGAGGAAGAGTAAACCCAACTCTAGGGAGGCAAAACTTGATGATTAAAAAGAAAAAATCTATCTTTGAGATGGTTTTTACTTATGAACTATTTCATTTCCTTTGAATTACCTTATAGCTGTATGTAAGAATAATTCACATTGTCCTAGAAATACTAGGGAGGGCAGAATTTGACATAAGCTGTTATAGGCGGTCTCAGAATCCTCCAAACAGCATTCGAGGCAGCCACAGCCATTTGCACACTATTTCACACCCCCTAGTTCTTAAATATAATTGTGAGATTTTAAAAATGGGTGAAATAATAATGCTATGAGGTTGGCGAAAATGGGGGCAATTCAGAGAAGCTCAAATTGGTAAAACCATTGCTGTAAATGAGTAAAATTAAAGTCAGTTCAAGTAATTGCTCACTTCTTTTCTGA